AACCATGATGACGTCATAGTGAAATAGGGCAATTAAGATGGATGTTTCAAAGTGGTGATTCACTAAGTGGTGGGCCGCTGTCAGGTTGTGGAGTAATAGTTGGTGGCAGCTCAAACGAAGCCTCAATAATCAACCTAAAAGATGCATGAAATTTATCCATTCCACATCCCAACCCCACTCCCCAACCCCATCCAGAATTTCCAATTTCCTCTGCCATGGGTTATGGATATTTTCTGGAACTCCACATTTTCTTTGAGATGTATGTTTAACATATTTTTGTTGTTTTATTAATTTTATATCATGAAATAATATCAATAAATTATTCCTTTCCATTATTCTTGTTACAGCCTCGAGAAAGAGGGCAGTTAAGATTTCATATGTTACAAAATGTTCAGACTGCTTTGGAATTTCTTGAGAGCAGAAATGTAAGTATTATKTGCTGTAAGTCATTGGATAATGGTATCAGGGCTTTACCTAAACATTTCATGAGTATAGACTGTGTGAGAACTAAATTTACCTGGGTAGTGGATTGCRTGACAGCCATGACAGGAAGCTGGATTGTGTGACAACCATATGTTTCACAAGATAGTGTACTGTGACACCCACGAGGAACTAACCCACTTTTCCATTAGATTCATGGGGATATTTCTCAGCAAGACATCTCTTTAACACATGCTTGGATCTCATTAAAAATTATTTAAATAAAAATCATCGAGAGTAGAAGGCTACGAAGCCATATGTTAAACAGCAGGTAGCATTATAGGAAATTAATTAGGAGGAGGATGGCTTTAAATAATACTCAATATAATGGTCATTAATAATATATRTACCACATGAATGTACACACATATACATATTTGACAAATAAAACCACTTTTTCTGTGCTCAGTGCAGTAATGAAGAACACAGGAAGACAAAGGCACAAAAAAGTGTGAAGAAAAGCATAAGCTATATGCGAGTAATTCTCACACTTCTTGAGTGTTTTTGGCACTTGCTAAGTGCTTTATTACGTAATGGAGCRCGGAAGAAAGCTGTTTTTATTTGTTCTATTATGTAGAAAGAAAAATGGGTTATGTTTTATATACTGTTTTCTTACAATATAATAATAAGATATTTAAATGAATCCTTCAGAAGTTAATTTCTCATCAAACCTCCCACTTATATTTTCTTTTTTTTCTCCTTCGTTAATATTTCCCATTTCATTACCTGTTACCCATTTATGTGTTGTAATGTTTGTCTTCCCATTGTTGTATTTCTCTTTTCCCGTTTCTCCATTTTTGTCCTTAATTTTCCATTTTCATTTCTCTTTCATCAGATAAAGTTGGTGAACATTCGCAGTGATGATATAGTTGATGGTAATACAAAGCTAACCCTAGGATTGGTTTGGATAATCATTCTTCATTTCCAGGTAAATCTGAAGTTAAAATGCAGTGCAAATTACATGTTGATTGACTCAAAAATAAACTTC